GGGGTGGGGCAGTGCACGCGTACAGCTCAGCGCCAAAGGCCAAGGGTCGCAAAAAGAGCCGGGGGGAGCGACAGGGGAGCACAAAGGCACTCCCGGCTGGGGAACAAGAGCAACTACGACGGATAAAATTTTTCTTCCAAATTATTATTTATTTGATCCGTTACAATTGACAGTATGAAATCAATATCACAGCAGACTGTTCAATATTTTGGTGCAAAGTAGGGCATTCCAGAATGATAGAATGATCAAAATTTTGACTGGATAAAGATGGTAAAATTCACTTTAAAATTATTAATCACAATGTGCAAAACAGTATTTATATGGAAATTTCATGCTTCAAATAGTTTAAAATATTCAAGTACAGTAGTAACTCACACAGTGTAAAATTTATAGCAAAAAAACTATGTGTTACAGCCATGGCCATGACAGGGTCTGCAGTCGAGACAATTAGTTGCAGGAAAAGTTCGCAGGGACCACGACAGAGGTTTCAATTTTTGTTGTTGTGAGCGGAGCGAAACACTTTAGCAGGTGAACTTATTTTCATTTTCTTTTAAATAGTTCACTAATTTTCTTGCTTGAGCCTGCCCTGATTCAAAAGCTCCATGAGTTGTTGAAAAGTGTGATTCATGGGCTGCTTCCCCTGCTAGTAAAATTACTGGGTGCTATGGATGAAAATAAAACTAAAATTATTGGAGATAATATAACAACAAAACTCATAGTTTTCACACTGACATGCAGACATTGTTACCTACTTTTTCTGAATTTTCTATGTTGCAGTAAACTGGTACAGTTAAGTCTTTTGGGCCACATCCAATTTTATCACAGGTTGATGTTGTGTGGCTATAACCACCTCGTATATAGGGGTTACTGAACCAAGTGGATCTATAAAGCAAAAGTTATATGCAAGTTCTCATTAATATATCCCATTATAGTGACAGAGAAAGTAACACAAAGTACCTTTTTATATATTTTGGCAGTGGCGTTTCAGGATTTTTGACACACTTCCTCAGTAAATTTGTGCAATGTTCTCCAACGACATCTTCATCCAGGCCTTCCATATGCACAGCACCATTTCCACCAACCCATGCAAGGAGAATTGCTGGTTTGTGGGAGAGAACATCAAAACCAGTGAAGTCATTTAACCACCAGTCAGCCTCCTACAAATTTAAAGGAATATAATGAGACACTTCAATATTCCAACTGAAAACATAAAAATCTGGACTGTTCATCTGATGTGTAGATATTTACCTTGGGCTCACTGTCAGTTTTGTCTGGAACAGTTCTGACAATTTGAAAAGCCTGTTGTTTGCTATCCCACCAAGGTTCATCATAAAATAGAAAAATTTTGTCAACAACTCCAAATCCTAATGCTTCAATTACAGATGTTAGAGAACTTGGGAGAGATGGCTTAAACATGTTCTGGTGATTAGCTTTCAAAAAACCAATGGAACATGTGACAATTACATGTGACGCACAAACAGCAGACCCATCCTCACAAATCACTGTTACTGGAAACACTGAACATTCATTTCCAGCAGATTTTGATGGTAAATTTTCATTCCACACCACTGATTTAACAGGAGAATTAAAATGAATAATTTTTTCAGGTAGATCTTGAATAAGAACATCAATGACAGAAGAATATCCTTCTGACAAGTTTATGCAATCTTCTCCACCAGTAAACTTGTATTTTCCCCAGTCTTTTGCTGACAAAGATCCCAGGTTTGTGCAAGAATTATCAATTTCCTGAAACCTGAAAATAGAGAAACATGATTTTATTAATTAAGTACCAATGATGATGAGCCCATCATCATCATGAGTTCCAAGCTCAGTACATACCTCAAATGCCAATTAAATAATTCCCACTTAAGTATTTTATCCTCTGGTGAATCATTAACACAACAGTCTATATATTCTTGGAAGCGGTCTCTTAGATATTGACCGACAGATGGTGGGTAATTTTCATTGCAGTTCACAAATTCTTCACAATCTTCCAGGATGCAAGATATCTTATGACTGACATGAGCAACTAATGAGCTGCACAATTCAGTCCCATCAATCTTTAAGTATGGTCCTGAAAAAAAATATTGTCATAGAGAAATCTTAACATTAACTGCAGACTTGTGTGTTTCTGTTGTTTTTAGGGAGGAAAAATATGTACAAACCTAAACCTTCCACAGAAGTTGTGTTTGACAGAAGGTTATGCTTGTGAGCAGCTTGATAAATTGGATTGTCTTCCCCGTGAATCCATTGGGCACCTAATTCAATGTGACCGGCTTCCACAGGCAAAGTGCAAACTCGGCCTCCTGCCTTTTCTTGGGCTGATAGAAACAAAATAAATTCTGAGTTGGATCTGTTCATTTTCCAACACTTCATATGGTTGAGCATACCTTCCAGAATAAGAACATCGGGAACACCGGCAGCAAGCAGCTCTCTAGCAGCACCAAGGCCTGCCATTCCCGCTCCAATGATAATTACAGAGCATTTCTGTGGTTTTCGCTGTTGCCAACCAAAGGGAATCGTCCTGTAATTTAGAATATGAGTCAATATTGTTGCACTTCTCATTCACAATAACTTTCCTGGTTAAAATACTACACTGAATTCGTTCTTCAAGCCTAATAACAACTCAGTACTCATATAGCATGCTTAGTATAGAATTAGGAGATAGATAAAAATAATAAAAATAATAATAGATGTTTCTATTTTTGATTGTCTGATGAGCATCTATTGTGAATGCAAGTAGTCACAAATAGTTAAGAAAGAAGTCATCACAAAGACCCCAAGGAATGTTAATTCCAAACTGTTAGTGCCCAAACGCACCCATTAATTGGTATCAATCAAATAACAGCATAAAGATGTGTATCAGGTGAGATGTTGAGGGTTCATGTATCGTAGGTGCGATGTTGACGCTGATGCCAAGGTGACATCAGCAGGGGGTTCCTCCTCACATTCAACAACATACAGCAAGTCAAGGCTGCCATGACCTGAGGAAACCATGATTCATATCAATACAAAGCATAATACACAACATTTAAAACAAAAAGAAAACTGGAGTACGCACTGCTATTGCGAATTTATGCATGCAAATAGTAGACCACTTGATTCAATAGATATATTAAATTAAAGTGAGGTAAATCAGACCTGCATTCTTCTTATTATAAACCATGCAATACAAATAACAGGACAAAAAGGAGAAAAAAATTAATTTTCAAAGCCGAACATAAAATAAATTGTCTGATTAAGCAAGACGAAAAACAAAGCTAGAATGTGCCCAAAACCTTGCATAATTAGGTATGATCTAAATTCCTCCCACACTTACTAAAAACTGGACAATAACAACATTCCTTTTAAAAGTCCAGACCACAAATAAAAAGCAAGACACAGTAAAGGTACTGAACCACCAAACACCTCAGAAAGTTCATCTGACTTTACCGACAAGGCCACAAATTAAATGGTTTAAATGAATAGCCAACTTTCATGATCCGTTGTTTGCAACCACAAACATAAAATAAAAACAAGAAAAGAGGAGTGTATTCACATTTCACTTAATTGTTTGCTTATTTCCACTCACTTGACGTCTCTGAGAATCCTATTGGCTTCTCTCCAGCCAGATTCGAATGCTCCATGAACCATTCGAAAGTATCGGTTTTGTTGTGAGTCCCTGCTGAACATTGTGTCCTATTTAAAAAATATAAATACAGTGGTATTAATTGATAACAAGTTATTGCGTTTTCTGTTACAATAAGTACGGGAATGTTAAGACATGAATTCGTCAAATAGAAAAAGGGTGAGGAAAACAAAAAATGTTGGGAGATTTCCTTGAAATTGAATAGGGTATAGAGAACATCACTTTGTTACGTTTAACCTAACCTGTGTTTTTTCGTTTCGTTTCGAGTAAAATAAATTATACAAAGGTATTGTCAGGGAAAAAATATACGTATTATAACCAGAAAAAATATAAATGTAACAAAATTCATCCAAGTAAACGAAAACATACTTTTGCATTCCCCGAAAATTACAAGATTGAAGTGAAAATTGGTTGGCTGATCAAGGCTGATGTCTGCTTCTGTCTGCTTCCCTGCTTCATGGCATGAGAAGGAGGGGAGGGGGTGGTGATGGGCGACAAGTGCCACGCTTTATGGCATTTCAGAACATTTATTTCACCCAAATTAGATGTAAGCCTGACTCACTTTGAAATCGTACCCTACAAATAAAGGCACCACCGAAATGAATTGAACTTTTCAGTGGAATAATTCTTTAAGCATTCAAAGTATGGCGCCCTTGAATGTCTGTATTTTAGCCAACTTTCCCAACTCCACAGATATCGTATTCACCCCTTTCAAGTCCTTTATTATGACGTAATCAGTATTTTTTTAAATCCAGAGATTTTTATTTCTTTTTGGATCATCTCAAAATCACTATTACCCAGAATTTACTTAAAATAATATTCCCAATGTACTTTGTTTGGGTCCTCAACCTGTCTTCCCCTTCCACCACCTTTCTGACGTATGCGGCGAATGATGCATCGGGGAGTGTTCGGTGGGGGTTAGATAGTAATCAAAAATTCCTGTTTTCTTTGATAAATTGTAACAATGGACAAAAATGGGAAGAAGGTTATTGTTTGTGACAACGGGACAGGGGTAAGTGTGAATAAACAGTTTGCGTAACTTGCATATTATCTGTGTAACTATCTCTGTTTCGTACGTCCTAGCCTCACCCACTTAAGCCTGACTGTCAAACAATAACAATTTTGAAGTAGTTTTCGCAACATTTCAATTTTTTACACTTGTTCTACTTGGCTAAATTTTAATTTTGCGTCCCAGCCTCTCTAAGTTGATCTATTTCAAGCCGAATTGCGATGAGAGTTTATCTTAACCTAAATTCGTAGTGTTGTCATTACATCTTGAGGACCACACCTGTGAGATCAACCGGATTATCTCTTTTCAGTTCATATCGAATTAAACATCTTTAAATTACGTTTGCGAAGTCCCTGCTCTACCATTTTTATGACACACAATTCCTTAAGGGGTATCTCAAGTTTAATGTATGGTTTGGAGTGCTGCTGTTGTCACATCTAATATTTGTCTATATTTTTTTCTTTCCTTTCTCTAGTTTGTCAAATGTGGCTATGCAGGATCCAATTTTCCTGCTCACATTTTCCCATCCATGGTTGGGCGACCCATTATCCGAGCAGTCAACAAAATCGGAGATATAGAAGTTAAGGTATGATAGTGATCTTTTTATTGTTGTAGCTATTTAAAGGATTCCTGATATAAGTTATATACTTCTGTCATTTTTAAATATTATCATTTTTGCATACTGTTGAAGTCCATGGTTTGCATGAGTTGGTTTTTCTGTTTGTAAGTGATAGTCATTTGTAAGAAATAGGGGCTAATGAGATATGATTTCATCTGTTTACCCTTGGTAATCTTAAGATCTGTAGTTTACATTTTTAATTTATTTATTTTCAGGACTACTGTGTCAGAGTAAGATTTACATCTTTTCGTAAGCTCAAATATGAATGGTTTTTGCCTAACAACTGTTTGTTAATACATACAACAACCTGTCATAACTAGATATACAAATGCTAAATTTTCTACATTGAAAAAAGTTACTTTTTTACAAAGAAAAATAGATAAGCAGAGTCCATTTTAACAAAAATTTAACCCTGTGTGAAGTGTTTTGTGCTCCTAACCAGTTGTATTGTAATTCTCATATGTTCTTTGTTTCTTTACCTCTTCTGTGGTGTTCGTATATCTCATTTTGGGCATCTGCAGAGTGGACAGGTAAACCTTCACATGCTATTTCTACAATACCTCTAAATTCTTTTGACCTTTTATAGATTAAAAACTGTTGCAGTTAAGGATGAAAAAATTTGGTTATTTATCTTAACTTATATATTATCTAACATGTTTTCCATTTTCTTTTATTTCTCGGCAAAGGAATTTACCACTATGCCTGTAAGTATGCACGGTTCAAACTGTACATAGCTTCTTCAAAGCGTAGCACTAGAAAAGCTAGGTATAGAGAAATGAAAAAGGTTGTGATTTAGGTTTATATCTTACACTTGGATTGCTTGAAGCCCTTACCATGATCTGAACCCCATTAGGTTTCCTAGAGTACTGTTTATTGTTTTGAATGCTGGAATCATAGCTACATATTTTATTTAGATAACTTCCTATCCTTTTATAGTTTACCTGGGATCTGTTTTGTCATGAGGACAATTTTTTTAGTTGTTAACAATTATATTGTAGGAATAGGCATGTGAACGAGGTGCTTGTGTGCATTTTGTAGGTGTTCCTTAAACTTATCAACACTTCCAGGTAGGGATTTTTTCCAGGTGGATGTATTTATTTGTGGCAATGCTGTTTGGTTTGCTGTTTTTCCTCTTTTTGAATGATTGTATGTGAGCTGAGTTTGTTTAATTTGCTTTGTTATGTTTGTCTGTAGCTAGAAATCAACATCTCAAATTTCGCCACCCATCTACTTCTAGTAATAAACAACCTTCTCCAGTAGTTGACGTTGCAAATTCAGACTATATGGTGCTTTTATTTTTGGTTTAAATTATTCTAATGATTCATTCATCACATAAACTCTGTTCTCATTTCATCATCCATATCAATTTTTACACTATTTGTTGCGCATTCAGACGTGGCAGTAATAAGCATGGTGCATCTCATGAAAGCATGGTCATCTATATTTGAAAATGTTTTATATGTCCTTGTCTTGTCATTATTCAAATTCTCAAACGTACCGTGAAATATAGGGCAAGGAATGTGCCTTGACTGCATTGGTCTTCTCAGCATTTTTAAATCTCCAAATGAGCATTTTTTATGATAATATTTTTATATTTTTTCAGGACTTGATGGTTGGAGATGAAGCAAGCAAATTGCGGTCAATGCTTGAAGTCAATTACCCCATGGAAAATGGCATTGTCAGGTAACTTCTTGCACTCTAAAATCCTATTTTATGTTGTTGAGTACAATGCTCTGTGAAATATTTTCCTGTACAATCCTACTGTAGGTAACCTCACATCACAATATAATAAACAGTTTATCAATTATTATTTTTTTAGGAATTGGGATGATATGTGCCATGTTTGGGATTATACTTTTGGACCAGAAAAGATGGATATAGACCCAAAGGAATGTAAAATTCTGCTAACTGAACCACCTATGAATCCAACTAAAAATAGAGAAAAAATGATTGAGGTACGATGCGCTATCATTTGGTTCATATTTCTGTTTTCATACTGCCTCTGACAACTTATTATGTGATCTTAAAACTTGCAGGTTATGTTTGAAAAATATGGCTTTGCAGGAGCTTACATTGCAGTTCAGGCTGTTTTAACCCTGTATGCTCAAGGCCTTATCACAGGTGTAGTAGTGGATTCTGGAGATGGTGTTACCCACATTTGTCCTGTATTTGAAGAATTTGCTCTACCTCATTTGACTCGTCGCCTGGATATTGCTGGAAGAGATATTACTCGGTATCTTATTAAGGTACATATGGTCTTGTGGATAACCACAGAATATGATAATTGACATGCTATCTAACGGGAGTTTTGCTTCTTTGCAGCTTTTGTTACTTCGGGGGTATGCATTCAATCATTCAGCTGACTTTGAAACAGTTCGTATGATGAAAGAAAAGTTGTGCTATATTGGGTATGATATAGAAACTGAGCAAAAGCTGGCCTTGGAAACTACAGTTTTAGTTGAACCATACACTGTAAGTTACTCACTATAATTCATCTGCTCTAAACTGTCGTTAACCTTCAGTCAATGATTGTTAATTTTTTTTTCTCTGAAGCTGCCTGATGGAAGAGTAATCAAAGTTGGTGGTGAGCGCTTTGAAGCGCCTGAAGCCCTTTTCCAGCCTCATCTTATAAATGTTGAAGGACAAGGTAAATAAACTGAGTCTACTTTCGTCTTCTCTTAGTCATCACTATGACTTCCATTAACTTGATGTCTCTACTCTAGGCATTGCTGAGCTTGTTTTCAACACCATTCAAGCTGCAGACATTGACATGCGTTCAGAACTCTACAAACACATTGTTCTCTCTGGCGGATCTACAATGTACCCTGGCTTACCCAGTCGACTTGAGAGAGAAATCAAGCAACTTTATTTGGAACGAGTTTTGAAAAATGACACAAATAAACTTTCGGTACGTTTAGTTTCAATTGTTGTGTTTCCCATACTTTAACTTTGAATTATAATGGTGTAACAATTCGTTTTCACAGAAATTTAAGATTCGCATTGAGGATCCTCCAAGGCGAAAAGATATGGTTTTCATTGGTGGTGCTGTCTTAGCTGAGGTTTCTAAAAATTCAGACTCCTTCTGGATGACCAATGAAGAATACCAGGAAAATGGAGTTGGGGTATTAAAAAAACTTGGTGCCAGGGGCAATTAAATCTTCTTTGCTAAGGCTTATTTCTTAAATTTTGTCATTATATCTGTGGAGGGAGTTGTCATTTATCCCACAGATATTGCTGAGTTGACAGTTGAAACATTTCCAAAGAAGTGTTATGAAATAAATCCCTGGCATTTTCTTGTGCGTCAGCGCTCAGTGTGTGCTCTAGTCCACGTCCAAGTGTACTACAGTATTCTATTTCTTACTTGTTTAGAAGGAGAGAAGATTATCTATGTGATATTCTCTGAGCATTTAACACAAGTGTACAAGGACTTCAAGGTAAAATTCTTGTAAAATTTTATATCCTTGAGTTGCAAACCTAAAATGTTATCTTAGTTAATTGTATGGATTTTTTTGGGAATGGGAGCAACAGCTTTGTCCACCAAAATGTTTGCTCTTAGAAACAATTTCTTTCTTATATGACTACAACCAGTGCTGCCAACAAAAGTCAAATTTTAACAGTTTTGTACTGATACTTATTCATAGCATTACTTCTGTCTGTTTGTGATTTTCTTTTCTCCCCATTCATTCAATTTGACAGTTTGCAAATCAAAAACATCTCTTGTCATCACATAACTGATCGACTTTTCAGTCTAATTCTTTTCTTGTTATTTTTATTATTTCTATCCATTCTCTTCTTTTTTTCCCTGTAAAGTGGATAATATATGTGAGGCTTTACATTAGTGCTGTATTGCTGGTAATATTCCAGTGGCTCTTTTGCCTCAGTTGAAGTTCCTAACCTGGACTACTCTTTTCCTAGCCATGGGATGCAATTTGTGTAACTCAGCATAGAGATTGTGATTTTTCTGTCGTGCTCATTCTCCTGAATATAATTCAACATTTAGTTTTTGAAAGATATTGGTGTACTCTTTTGTAAACCTGTATGTTTAACTTTTAGTATGTGCTAGAAGTGCAACGTTGTCCAACCTGTAAGTGAAAATGAAGAAGAGAGAATTTGAATTCAACGTTTCATGAGAGTAAAATTATACATATTAATTTTAATGGAAGTATTTTGGCACATCAATTGCCTTTTTGGCTCTGGATGAGTGCTATTAATGGTATAAGTAATTTTTGAGTGCAACAATGTTAGCATTCCATTGCTTGTAGAGCTAACAGATTTTGTACCACCTCATCATTTTATTTTTTATTTTCCCAACCCCTCTTTATTTTATTATCAAGTTTATTTCTTGCTTATATTTTCTTTTGAACTGTATGATTGTGACCAGATTTATAATAAATGTGAATGTTTGTGTAACAATCTTTGTACTGAATTCTGTATGCATTTACTGTTGTTCTAATTTTATATAAAGTTGTTAAAAAAATGGAGGAATGTAAATGAGCAATAAAATGTACGTTGAAAATATCATCATGATATATTACCACCCCATCACTTACCGTGATGAACCGCGGTCATGAAGACAAGAGATGTGTTAAGACCACTTTATTAGGGGAATGTAGGAATGAGTCACTCGGAAGGGACGAGAATTCCCGTGGTGTGATCCTCGCTCGCCAGCCCAGCCGCCCTCAATGGATTCCTACACGCGTTCTCGACCCGACTGGCCCACTGGCCGTCCCAGCGCGTCATTCATTTGTCGTTTGTTTACTTGTCGTCATGAAGTCACGATTACGACGAACTGTGTCTCCTCGGAACCTCTCTGCGGATGAGACGAGACACGCGTGGTCCACCCGGGGAGGCGTGGACCGGCAGTGACGGGGCGCTAACGACTTGGATGACCGAGAATTAAGGAAGGGGAGATTTGAATATAGAAATGTTAGCCAACAAAACACGTGGTTTTGGCTTTCTTACCGAGCAAAGCTGAGGATCGAGGGGAAAATCTTAGCCAGCACGTGTTTGCGAAGCTGTCGATGAAAGAGACGGACGGATAAGAACGCATGAATGGAGAAGGAAGAGGGGGCAAGTTCTTGGGAGGGGGACGCTCTGAGGGCTGACGTTCGTTATCGTCGGACGGGGCGGCGCGGTCCGGCTCGTCGGGGACGAGACGAACAGATAAAGGAAAGGGGTTGTTGCCTGGTGCTGGCTGCTGGCCAGCGCAGCGCCAGCGCACCAGTCGAGACAGAGCGGTGGACAGCGACGCGCCGCGCAGCGCCCTCATTGCAGTAGTGATTACCGTTTGTTTGTTGGCCAACCCAGGCCGGACGGGCCGAGAAGAGGAGACGTTTAGTGAAGAAGTGTCGACGCCATGAATGGTACCCTGTGGTGCGCCAGCTGATCTGCTCGTTCCACCACCCTACAGTCCGCCATGGCGGCAGCGCTGCGCCTGTGCTGCGCGTTGCTGCTGCTTCAGGTGCTGCACTCCTGCGCAGCGGTCGCGGTAAATATGCATCGCGGGCGTACGGAGCGACCCGGAGGGACCGCGAGTCTAAAGGAACTTCCTTAGCAACTTACGCTTTGCTTCCCCGCGGGCCGCAGATATACGACCCACAGGACGCCGACGGGGACCTCGACAGTCCGAGAGGCCTCGAGGATGGCGATGACGACGGCGCCGGAGTGATCACAGTTCACGCTGGGAAGAGGAAGCCGGCGTTGGGGTCCCGGGTGCCTCCCCCTCCGCCGCAGCCTCCCTCCAGCAGGGACTCGGGCTGCCCACAGTCCAGGAGGAGGAGGAGCGCGCCGAGGTCGAGCAAGCCGATGCCCGTCCGGGAGAAGCTCCACGTTAAGAGGAGTGCTGACAGCAACTTCCACTGCCCTGAGTCGTGGAAAGGTAAATGTCCTATTCCGTTGTTGACCTCTCAGCGATTCGGGTTGCTTGATGCATTTTTGCCCTCGACCTCGCAGAGCTGAACTTCTCCGAGGTACAGGAGCTGGAGTGCCCCGAGAACGCGACGGGATGGTACCCGTTCCCCCCGGACTGTCGCAAGTACCTCAACTGCTGGAAGGGCCGCGGGTTCCTGCAGGCGTGCGCGCCCGCCACGCTGTTCCACCCCATCCGCCGCGAGTGCGACTACCCGGAGAAGGTCAAGTGCCTTCCCAGCTGCCGCTCAGGTGAGTCAGGACTGCCCGCGAGGCTGCCCGCTTGTCCGCGCTGTACGAGGTGGAAGGCGACTGAAAAATGTTCCTTTGACGCGCGCTGGCGCAGACCACAGGGGAGACGACAACGACAGTGACAGCGACGAGGAGGATGGCATCATGGGTGACCCCGTGGATTACGTGGACCCCGAGCATCCGCGACGTCCGAGCCCTCTCATCGACGTGCGCAGCGCCAGCGGCCCCCTGCGCAGAGTGGCCCCAGGGGCCACAGCGGCGGCGGCGGCGGCGGCGGCGACGACGACGACGACGACGACGACTCCGCGAACCTCAGCCGGTAAGTCGATCCCGTCAGCCCGAGCCCCTGTGTTCCGGGCTCGCCCGTCAAGCACGCGTGTGTAGCGCGTTGCCTATCGCCACCTGCGCGGGCGCTCTAGCCCCCAGCAGCCGGGCCCGCCCGCCGGGTACGCGTGTGTGGCACGTTGCCTATCGCCACCTGCGCGGGCGCTCACGCCCCCGGCAGCCGGGCCCGCCCGTCCGGTGCGCGTGTGCTGCACGTTGCCCACCCTCGCCTGCCCAGGCGCCAGCCCTGTTGCCGACGTGACTCGTTTCTCCCGATGTCGCAGGACGCGCACGCAGACAGGTGTACAGTGCGCGGCTGGCAGGAGGCGGCGGCGTCCAGTGTCAGATGGAGGGCGGCACCGGCCTCCAGGCGCACCCTACCGACTGCACCAAATTCGTCAACTGCTGGCAGGTGCGTTGGGGGCACTCCACCGCACGGTCTTGGGGTCGGATCAACAACCCACCAGGCGCTTACGTCTTCCTCACTCTCGCCCCCCACAGGGCAAGCCGCACATCCAGAGCTGCGCGCCCGGCTCGTTGTTCAGCACCCGCCTAAACGCGTGCGACCACCCGAACAAGGTGACCGAGTGCGTCGGCGGCAAGAGGGTCGCTCCCGGAGCTGCGGCCCCGCCAGCACAGCCCGCGGGCGCGCTGCCTGCCAGCTACACCCAGGCGGGCGGCGGCTACAACCAGTTCGGCAACCAGGGCTACCAGCCCCCGCCTCGGCAGACGTTCCTGACGGCCGCGTCCTACCCGGACCAGGTCCCCGCTGCTAGCTCCTTCAACGGCTACGTGCCCAACCAGGTGTTGCCCCCTCCCGGCGCCGGCGGCAAGGGCAAGAGCCTGCACCCTGAGCTGCAGCCGAGGCCGCCCTCGCAACAGTTCGGCTGGGGCGCCGCCCCGCGCCCTCTGTCGGCCGACCCCAACCTGGACGTGGAGGGCATCGAGTCCGGAGGTGTGATAGGGCCGCTGCCCCGCCCACACCCAGGCCACAACGAGGAGTGGCACCGCGACCACGGCGTCCCGATGCCTGGCAGCGGTAAGTGAACACGGCGCGGTGGCTGCGTGAGGAACTCGCCGTTTTTATTCTGACGGTTTCGCGCGCGCTCTGGTGTTTTTCAGGCGTGCCGCCTGGTCATAACCCTGCATACCACCAGCACCACCATCACCACCACGAGCAGCAGGGCAACCGCTATACCCCGCATCCCCCTGGACACCACCACGCAGGTCACAGCCCCCAGCCGGGCAACTACAACCCTCAGCAGGGCAGCTACACCCCATCTCCGGGCCGGTACACTCCGTCACAGAGTGGCTACAACCCCCAGCCTGGGGATTACAACCCGCAGCAGGGAGGTTACGGCGGATATGACCGGCCGAGCGGAGGATACACCCCGCAGCCCAGCAGGTACGACCCCCAGCCCCAGGAGGGCGGCTACACACCGCACGCTGGTCACCACCCGCACGCTGGCCACAACGCGCACCCCGGCCACAACCCCCAGTGGCACCACGACCACGGCGTGCCCATGCCAGGCGGACAGCGTGGAACAGGTGAGTCACAGCCCACTGCCAGGCGCCTCACAAGCGACGTTGTAATCGATGCTCAATGCAGATTCCCTCTTGCTAGCTTACGCCCCCACCACTACCACCCCGTCTTACGACCCGCCCACCACGACATGCGCACCGGAGGAGGACGACGACAACGACTTCCGGGAGAACGACTTTGACCTGCGTTCGGCCGGTTCTAGTAATTGGGTAACCGTCGTGGAACGTACCAAGAACACGAGTATGCCACAGTCCGGCCAGATGGTGAGCGCCTCAGCCCTTTGCCTCATGTACAACATCACGAAGTGCGGCAGTGGGCGTTGCCGAGTGGTCGCGTCATTATGGGTGCGTTCTTAATCCATAATCCTTCTCAGGTCCGCATCCGCGGGGGTCCAACACCGCTTGAAGGCTACGTGGAGGTGATGGGTCCGGGATCCAAGTGGGGCTCCGTGTGCGACAAGCCCGCCGACTGGACAGTAGAGGAGGCCTCCATAGTCTGCAGGATGCTCGGCTACGAGAGGTAAGAGGAGGGCTGGAGCGAGGCTGGGGTTGGTCATCAAAGCGCATATAACAGTTGCTGTCTTGGTCGCGCAGAGGCGCCGAGCTGGCTTGGCAGGGTCGTCCCCGCGGCTCCCCGGGAGTCTTGGACGTGCACGTCGAGGAAGTCTACTGCTCCGGACAGGAGCGTTCGCTGATGAGCTGCTCGATGAGCGCCGGCGATGCGGGCGACGGGTGCAACCTGGAGACCCAGGCCGCTGGCCTGCGCTGCTACCCGAACTACGTCGCGCGGTGCCGGCCGGGCGAGGTGCCCTTCAAAGGCTCTTGTTACTCGGTCGTCATCCCGAGGCAGGACCGCAAGGTCGACGCCATTGCCTTCTCCCAAGACGAGGCCATAAAGCACTGCAAGAGCCAAGGTGGCCACCTCCTCGACATCAACAGCCAGGTAAGGCAGGCGCAATGAGCACATATACGGGGGTAGTTTTAATTTATCTGTCAAAAAGTAACAAAGCTGAACTTCCAGGCAGAGAACGACTTCATTTCGGAGTGGTTGACAACAGCGCACCCCGCCCTCGGCAGTGTGCTCACCTCTGGTGTCGGAGTGTCCGTCCCGGGCAGAGACGTCTGGGTGTGGGAGGACACCGGGGCCCAATTCAAGTATAACCTCTGGTGGCCCGGCCCTCCCAGCAAGGAGTTTGACCCAGGTAATGACAGTGACAGTGTGTGTGAGAGAGATGGGGGAGGAGAGAGGAGAGGATGGTGCAGATCAGAGGAATGATAACCCCCACGTCGCATACAGCGAGGGCACCCAAGGTCAGCGACCGCCCGCTCTGCATCCTGCTCAAGAAGGACTTCCCCTGCGACACCTGGCCTGGGGCCGTGACCGGCGGCAGGGGTGCAGGCAGAGGCGGCGGCTACGGCAGTTGGCAGGGTGTGCGCTCCTGCGGCGCCGAGTACTTCTTCTGGCACGGCGAGGACTGCGCCATCCGGCAGAAGTCGTACCCCTACGTGTGCGAGAGGAAAGCTGACGACGTGGGTGAGTGTTCGTGCCGGTGTGAGCTGACCAGCAGCCGGGCGACTCCCTCTGACGGCGACCTTGTTCCAGGCTGTCTTGGCCCGAGCGGCACCGAGTACGAGGGCACCGCCAACGTGTCCTGGAACGGGCTTCCTTGCGTCAACTGGGACTCCCCCGCGGCCGTGTCCGCGCTGCGCTACCGCGTGTCCGAGGACGTGCGGCAAAAGTCGCTATCTGGGCACAACTACTGCCGCACACTGGCCGGCGGCAGCGCTGGTAACCAGGAGCCTTGGTGCTTCGTGGACGCGGGAGCGTCGGGCATCAAGGCGGAGCGCTGCGATGTACCGCGATGCAGAGAGAACACAGGTAACTCGACTGACAGCGAAGTGGACGCGACTGTCCCGCTACAGACCGGGGTGACGGTGCCAACCCCGGGGCTGTACGAGGCCAACGGCCGGCCTCGGCTGCCCGCGTCAGAAGGTGACTCTCCTTTCCCCTCCCTATCCCGCCCCTACCCACCAACTTTCCTTCCGCGCTCAAGAGACGACCCGCTGGCCGACCCCCGTGGCACGGCGACTGCCACCGACAGGCCCTGGCCGACGCTTCCCACATCAAGACCGTTCTTCAGACCTGACGAGGGACAAGGCCTCGGTCGCGGTCCTGGGCCCAGCACCACCCCCGCCTGGCCGGACCCCTTCGCCGGCAGGTCCACCACTCCGCGCCCGAGGACCCTCGAGGGCCGCGGCGGTGGCCCGCGGCGCAGCACACCACCCGCAGGCCGAGTCTACCCCTCTGGGTCGGTCACGGCTAGACCACGAGAGGTCACGACCCTGCGACCCAGTTCTGGATCCAACGACCCGGAGTGGCCCGTCAACTACGCCCCAGGGTTCAGCCACCGCGAAGTCGGACCGACGCCGCAAGCCCCTCCCGTACCGCCGTCCAGAGACCTGCAGCCGCCGTACCAGGGGGGCGTGCAACCCCCACGCACCACGCAGACGCCGTCCGTGTACCGCGACCGCGAAGAGTACGTGGAACCGGAGGGCCGCGACGACGGGTCGGACTACGCCAACGTGCCTGACCCCCTGAGGATGGACACGCGACTGCCCAGCCTTAGTCCCCGGATGGGAGCCTCCCCTGACTCCGACCTTGGCCCCACTTCTGCCCCCACCACTGGCCGCCCCGCGGGTACTGCCCTGGGCTACGGAGCGCGACCCGACCCCCGGCGCGGCTACGGCCTCCCGGATGGCGCGCCCCGCAGACCCCCCGTGGCCACGGCGCGCCCCCCTGCTGAGCTCTATAACTACCTGCTGCCCGGCCAGAGCTACGCACCGTACCCGTACGCCGCGGACCCGAGCCAGCCGCAGGGCCCGCAAGGGCGCCCTTCCTACTCCAACCTGTTCGGCCTGCTGCCCGCCATGGCCCCCGTGGCGCTGAGCTACTACCCCAGCGAGGGCGCCAGGGCCGTGCGTGACCCGCTGGACGACTACCCCGACCAGGAGGGGCGCGGCCCCACGGCGACAACCCCATCGGGCAGCAGCGACACGGAGGACCCCTACGGACTCTTCTCCGGCTCCAGTGAGAGCTCCCGCCAGCCCACACGCGAGGGGCGCTACCCCTCCCCGACGGTGGCCTACCCCTTCCGCGGGCCGAGCCCGGGCAGCAGCTACCCCTACTCGCAAGTGGGATACTACCCCCCTCAGCGCGCAACAGCCAGGACCCCGAGTGGCAGCGATGAGGACGACTCGGATCAAGACAGCGGCAGCGAGTCCAGAGAGTCCGACGGGCGGGCCGAGCGATGGCCTACGTCGTACAATGGGCACTCCGGGCCGGGCGGGGCGCCCTCTCGCCAGAGCAGGACGGCCGAGGAGCCTGTCACCGGGGCAGCCACCATCGCCACCCCGGCCCTCACCGTCACCCTGGCACCGACTACCAATCCGCCCTTCAGCAGGCCGAATGTGAAGGTTGAATCCGAGCACGTCATGAAGATACCCAAGTCGGGAGAGACGTCCCCGGCACTACAAATCACGACGGAGAAGATATTCTTCATGTGAAAGCGGTTGTCGCCTTACCACCACCGCCTCCCTTTGCCCTCACCCCTTTCCCATCTAGTCACCGATCGTTTATCTTATTTTGCAACGTTATTCTCCGTTCCACTTGTTTTCGTGTTTTTGGACAGTAGTTTTAGAAGGTTTCCCAGAGTTCCCCAGTTGTCTGGTGTGACCTCTGAAAAGGGGTGTCAAAGTGATTTAAGCATAGGAAATTTTGTGCACTTTTGAATTGTTCCTTCTTACTTGGTTTAATTATACCAGTGAAAAGTCTCTGTGATTATTTTATTAGGGTTCATGAGCATAGGCAACATGAACAGTCACAACAAGTTTTCTTTTTATAAGTTTATGTATTATTAAGTCAACTGAAAAAATACATAAAATTGTAGAAAACACGAAGGTTCTATTTTAATTCCCTTCGATCCCTGTACACACGAACGATATAAAAGTATATTTTGCAAAAAGTAAGAAAAGTTTACTTCTTCGACACATAAAACTATGAGAACACTTAAATACTGAATAGGCATATTTAAAATAAAAACTGGAACAGTTCTTAAGTGCACACTTCTTTCCTCTGGACTGTGCTTCTACGGAAAAGGCAAGACAAGCGAGCAATAGACGAAATGACCTTGAAACGCCTTGCATCATGATATGTGGTACAAGGCAAGCCGTTTGGTCTGACGTGGCGCGGCGTAGCGTTGCCTCTCAAAACATGGTGTGTTTTGATTGGAAAGGGCCTTGTCTCGTGCGCGCCTTTTCACACCGCACGCACAGGGGGGGTGAGGCGGGGAAGGCATCCAAATATGAGAGGGGGGGGGAGATGCTGACATTAGGAGAACAGCAGCAGCAGACAGCGCAACAAGCGCATACGTCACGAACCGCGCCAGCCGGGCTAGCCCGGAGGTCAACCCGATTCTATTGAGAGTGCGATTCCGCTCCGCCAGCCACGCGGCCAGCGAAGAGGCCGGGGTGCGCGTCCTCGCAGGCAGGCGGGCTGATCTGATATAGCGCGAGGATCAGGGCCGCGGGTCGCGCTCGGGTCAGAGGTGTCGCACACGGAGCGCTCGATGACTAATGGGGCTGACGATCACGATTACTAATTTTACTTAAGAATTTAGCGTGTCATAACAGAATGTGTCTCACGGCGCACACACCTCTGTCCTCGTGTTGCAGCCATCGGCAGGGCCGCGGTCATCCACTGCGGCCCCCAGCAGTTCGAGTGCGGCCCCAACGAGTGCATCCCCAACGTGTGGCAGTGTGACGGCGAGCCGGTAGGTCGGGCGTGCCTCTAGGCGTGCCCCTCTAGGAGTGCGCCTCTAGGCGTGCGCCTCTAGGCGTGCGCCTCTAGGCGTGCCCCACGAGGCTTACGTAGTGTCAACCCTCCCCCGACTCACGACTGCCTCGTGCCCTACCACAGGACTGCAGCAACTCGCTGGACGAGCGCTCCTGCTCCGACTACCTGGTCGAGTTCAAGGCGGTGAAGGGCGCCAAGCTGGAGCAGCATGACGTGGAGCGCTGGCTGCACCTGGACGCCAACACGTGCGCCCGCCGCTGCCTCGACTCGACCGACTTCGTGTGCAAGTCCTTCAACTACAAGTGAGCGGGGGGCTGCATGTGTGGGCTGCGGAGTCCGAGGGGAGCGGGGGGCAGCTCTGACTGACGAGTGACTGGTCCTGCAGGAGCTCCACCAAGGTGTGCCTGCTGAGCAGCGCCAACGTGGGCGAGACGGGGTCGCTGCAGCGCGCCAACCGCACCGCCTGGACGTACTACGAGCGCGAGGCGCTCAGCGACCCCTGCAACGACCCCACGCGCTTCCTCTGCGCTAACGGCAAGTGCGTCAACGCGACGGACCGCTGCAACGGCCGCGACGACTGCGGCGACCGGTCCGACGAGGCCTCGGGCGTCTGCACCCCGGCCACCATCGGCTACGAGCTGCGCCTCGCCGGCGGCAAGGCGAAGAGCGAAGGCAGGATCGAGGTCAAAGGCAAGTCTCGGGAAGTCTAGGCTATAGGGTCTGGCGGTTCCCCGGAGCCTGTGCAAAACGGTCATGGAGTGGTTCTTGTCGCGCAGTGAACGGCATCTGGGGCGTGGTGTGCGACGACGGCTTCGGCCTCCCCGAGGCGGATGTGGTGTGCCGAGAGGCCGGCTACCGTGACGGCGCCGTCGAGGTGCTCAGCGGCGGAGTGCTCCCCGCGCCGCACAAGCCCCTCCCCTTCCTGGTGGACGAGCTGCTGTGCAAGGGCAACGAGACGTCCCTCATGCACTGTGACCAGGCGGGATGGGGCGTGCACGACTGCCTGCCGGAGGAGGTACGTGACGGCGCCTGGTGGGTGTGCAACCCGCCTGCGCGAATGCGCAACGGGCGGGTATCCCTCAGCCCTGACGGCGTCCTGTCCTGTCCGCAGATGGTGGGAGTGCGGTGCGCCACGGCCGCGGGGCTGGAGTGCAGGGCGGCGGACGGCGAGTCCCCGGAGCTGCACGGCGGCTTCGCGTGGGGCGCCATACTGCAGCTGGCCACCAAGCACTGCCGGCAGTCCAGCAGGGCGTGCCCGGAGAACCAGTGGCAGTGCGAGTCCGGCGAGTGCGTGCCGGCCAAGTTCCTGTGCGACACCGTCGAGGACTGCAAGGACGGCAGCGACGAGCACGCCAAGCGGTGCGCGGTGAGTGGCGACGGCGGGAGGATGGCGGGTGGCGTACGTTGTGCGCTGGTGATGGTCGCACTCCGTCAGGGTGACTGGTGTTACAGGGCACCATGGGCATGCGGCTGGTGGGCGGAGCCAACAAGACGGAGGGTCGCCTGGAGGTGAAGGTGTACGGCGAGTGGGGCTCGGTCTGCGACGACGACTTCAACGAGGCCGCCGCCATCACGGTGTGCAGGCAGCTCGGGATGCCAGGGAGAGCCCGGGTGCTCAAGGAGGCGCACTTCGGCCAGGGCCAAGGACTCATGTGGCTGGACGACGTAAGTACAGCTAGCGGGCGTGGCTTGCGCGGGCTCCGCAGGCTAGGGCCGTGTCGAGCTTGCATTTCTCTGACCGGTAGGTGCGCTGCTCTGGCAACGAGACATCCCTCGAGAAGTGCGCCCACGCGGACTTCGGCGTGACCAACTGCAAGCACGATGAGGACGTGGGCGTGGCGTGCCTCGGTGGTGACGAGCAGGCTGCCACCCGCGCCCTAGAGGAGCAGGCCGGCGGCGACAAGCAGGTGGACATCAGCAAGTACCTCCCCTCGGACTGCGGTACGCGCCAGGCGCTGGAGGACGAGTTCGTCCCCGCGGTGCAGCTGGCGAGGGTGGTGTCCGGGCGAGGCACCCCGCGCGGCGCCTACCCCTGGCAGGCCAGCGTGCGCGTCCGCTACGGCCTCAAGTCGGTGCACTGGTGCGGCGCCGTGCTGGTCGGCCCGCTGCACGTCCT